CAAAAAATCTTACCACGTTATCAGTGAAACCGCGTTATATCGAGCTTGATTTGATCCGCCGGAGCGTGCAGTCCCGCCCCCCCGGAGCGCTGCTTTACCGCGTTATATCTGAATTCGTGTTATATCGGGTGGCAGAGGTGTGTGTGTATATAGATATAGATAGATACAAAATATGATGTGCTTCTACCATGGTAATTAATTTGTGATCTCGGATTTATGAATTCCAAAAGAAGGCATAATCATGCCATAATGCTTCACAAAACATAATTCAACATGGACCTGATCCAAACCCCACCGCAGTCAATCAGAGGCTTTCTACTGATTTTAATGAGTTTTGGATTAGGCCCTGTAAGTGGTAACGACCAGTACACTTGCACCCTCAATCAATCTGTGATATATGTGTAACTGATATAAGGCCTGATCCTGCAGTCTTTGCTCAGGGAAAACTCTCACTAATCTCATCTCCTACACTGGGTATTACTACTACTTGTTAGCTTTGACATCGGTGTGTTGACAGCAGTATAGCTAGCAGATGAACTAGCAGGTTCACATTCATTGGGTGATGCAATGACATTTAAAACAGTAGCTTTAGCGGTAATTGTAGAAGTAAAGTTTTTATTTTTACACACTTAAAAAAATTACAATTTTGAGGATTGCCCCCTTGGACACTTCCAAGTACAGTTTCCCTGAACCATTCCAGTAAAGGAGTTGCAACTAGCAAGGGATGCGAAGGTAACAAGAAGGGTTTCTACAGATATGTTGGCAACAAGAAGAAGGTCAGGGAAAGTGTGAGACCCTTATTGAATGGGGGAGGCAACCTAGTGACAGATATGGAAAAAGCTGAAGTACTCAATGCTTTTTTTGCCTCGGTCTTCACAGACAAGGTCAGCTCCCAGACTGTTGCACAGGGCAACACAGTATGGGGAGGAGGTGAGCAGCCCTCAGTGGTGAAAGAACAGGTTAAGGACTATTTAGAAAAGCTGGACATGCACAAGTCCAGGGGGGTCCGGATCTATTGCATCCGAGGGTGCTGAGGGAGTTGGCTGATGTGATTGCAGAGCCATTGGCCATTATCTTTGAAAACTCGTGGCGATCGGGGGAGGGGAGGGTCCTGATCAATTGGAAAAGACAAATATAGTGCCCATCTTTAAAAAAGGGACTAAGGAGAATCCAGGGAACCACAGACCGGTCAGCCTCACCTCAGACCCTGGAAAAATCATGGAGCAGGTCCTCAAGGAATCCATTTTGAAGCACTTGGAGGAGAGGAAGGTGATCAGGAACAGTCAACATGCATTCACCAGGGGCAAGTAATGCCCGACCAGCCTGATTGCCTTCTATGATAAGACAATTGGCTCTGTGGATATGGGGAACGTGTTGGACGAGATATACCTTGATTTTAGCAAAGCTTTTGATACGGTCTTCCTCAGTATTCTTGCCAGCAAGTTAAAGAAGTATGGGCTGGATGAATGGACTATAAGGTGGATAGAAAGCTGGCTAGATCGTTGGGCTCAATGAGTAGTGATCAATGGCTCGATGTCTAGTTGGCAGCCGGTAACAAGCGGAGTGCCCCAGGGGTCTGTCCTGGGGACGGTTTTGTTCAACATCTTCATTAATGATCTGGATGATGGGATGGATTGCACCCTCAGCTAGTTCACAGATGACACTAAGCTGGGGGGAGAGGTAGATATGCTGGAGGGTAGGGATAGGGTTCAGAGTGACCTGGACAAATTGGAGGATTGGGCTAAAAGAAATCTGATGAGGTTCAACAAGGACAAGTGCAGAGTCCTGCACTTAGGACGGAAGAATCCCATGCACTGCTACAGGCTGGGGGCCGACTGGCTAAGCGGCAGTTCTGCAGAAAAGGACATGGGGATTACAGTGGACGAGAAGCTGGATATGAGTCAACAGTGTGCCCTTGTTGCCAAGAAGGCTAATGGCATATTGGGCTGCATTAGTAGGAGCATTGCCAGCAGACTGAAGGAAGTGATTGGAATGGGTTACCTAGGGAGCTGAGGGTTGGAATCGCCATCCTTAGAGGTTTTTAAAGATCGGCTTGACCAAGCCCTGGCTGGGATGATTTAGTTGGTGTTGGTCCTGCTTTGAGCAGGGGGTTGGACTGGATCACCTCCTGAGGTCTCTTCCAACCCTAATCTATGATTCTATGAAAAGTGTTTTAGGGGTGGTACAGTAACCCATTGGAGTCATATCCCGAGAAGGAATGCTGGTGGTTCAGATAAGATGGTATCTCATCCCCAAACATTATGGTGCATGTGTTCTTTGCTTTTTGTTTGCAGATATTTTGCCTGGCAAAAGTTTTATACAGATTCCAATCAAGCAGATTGCAAATGGATAGATTTAAAGCACTAATTTGCAAGATTATGCATATACTATACATCTACTCTTCAAAATGTATTGCAAAATATATTCTGAAAATTAAATGACAGATGTTTCGCAGAGTACTTAAGCAACTGGATGTCATACCTATGGACAGAGAACATGTCTCAATATTGTAGTTGAAAGATTCAGAATATTTCGTGTAAGACCGAGTGAGTATGTTTAGTACGCTCCAGTGTTTAGGACTCAATCCCACAGTCCTAACTCAGTCAGAATTGTCACTAACTCCAGTTGGAGTCTTCCCTGAGAAAGGACTGCACTATCCAGCCCTTAGTCAATACAGGAATTGTGTTCCTTCATTTTAATGTGGGTGAGGAAAATAAGGCCTTTGTGACAGGTTCTGCTTCATGGTAGCATTTCCCAGAGGAGAGGACAGGACTCAGCTCTGTCTTTCATGTTACTTCTGCCCAAATAGCAGATGTTACCTACATTGTAGTACACCAAACATGTTAATGCATTATCCTGGTCTCAGTCCAAAGAGTTACAGTTTGTGGCTAGGAATCCTGAATGGCAGCACAGATTGCTGCCTCTAAGCTATAGACTTGGGACCTTAAATTATTGTCTGAGTGGTTGGCCACACAGATTCCGCTCTTGATGCATGTGCGCTCTGTGCACATGAGATCAGAATCTTTGAGCCAGCTGTGTCCGATGGGCTGCGCCTGTGCCCTAGGTACCCTATTAGCCCTGCCAATCAAGGGCCTAAAGGGTGGAATGGACTCCGGTGCTTCTGAGTTCCTTTTTAGCACCCATGGCAACAGGACAGAACCTCTGCAGTGCCTGCTTACTCTGAGCATTCTGTTATTTCCTTGGCTTCGTATATATTGACAACATTCTATATAATTTAGTATAGTTGGTGTAATTCTCTTTTTACAGCCATTAGCAAAAAAAAAAAAAAAAGCATAGATCAGACAAATTTTAGTTAATCTTGACATCCATACCCTGAGCAGGAGTACGACAGTTGTGACAGAAGTTGAGTCATTAGGATTTAATACCTGACCCTTGTGTGATGCTTTGATGACCATTAATGATGCTCTTGGTGCCCACTGCATATTGGAGTAGGACATGTCCTGAGGCAATGTCGCTTTTTCTCCAAGCGTACCCAGAGACTAGGGAGGCAAGGCTGAAATTTGTCCTGTTAGAGAAGGCTCTGAAAGCCTCCTTGGACTCCGAAAGTAGAACAACACCAGTGGCACAGACTTTGGGTTAGTCATTTTTGATTAGTGGCTGGTGAGCCATGATTTTAGTCTGAGCTCCCAGGCCACATTGACTTAGAGGACCCATTAGTCTGCCATTATGTTGGCATTGATGTCTGTCGGGCAGAAATTTTCTGCTACCTAAATGGAATTCTAAAGGCTCCTGGCCTATACCAGGATATCAGGTTTTAACATTTTAACCAATCATAGTTTCTGAAATTTTTCACACAACTGCAGTGTTGGTGTATAAGTAAGCTCTGTGTGTGTGTGTTTTTCTATTTCAAACCCTTCAAAGTGTTGGTGAGGATTGTAACTGTCCATATGGTAAAAGATGTTTGCCCACCATTTGTGACACATTTGTATTATAGTATCTGGTTACACTCCCACCTGCTGTTGAAGGGAATCGGATAAATGGTTTTGCTATGACAATGATTTTCATTTGTGACACATTTGCATTATGGCATCTGGTTACACTCCCACCTGCTGTTAAAGCAGTGGTGGGCAACCTGCGGCCCTCAGGCCGCACGCAGTCCATCAGGCTAATCCGCTGGGGGGCCGCGAGACAGTTTGTTTACATTGAGCGTTCACAGGCACGGCCGTCCGCAGCTCCCAGTGGCCGCGGTCAATGGGAGCTGCGGGAAGCGGCGCAGGCTGGCCGCCGCTTCCCACAGCTCTCATTGGCCGGGAACGGCGAACCACAGCCACTGGGAACTGCGGGCGGCCGTGCCTGTGAACGGTCAATGTAAACAAACTGTCTTGCGGCCTCCCAGGACATTACCCTGACAGGCCGTTGTCCACCACTGTGTTAAAGGGATCAGGTAAACGGTTTTGTTCTGGACAATGATTTCAGTTGTGAAACATGTGGCCCACTATGATAAACTGCGAAGGACAAGGGCCAGATCTTCAGCTGCTGTAATTCACCATAACTCCGTTGCCACTTTCCTAGTTTACACCATCTGAGATTCTGGCTCAATGGGTCTTAAGTTGCATCTACAGTGTACTATCCATCCTACTTGTTACCTAGTCAGAGTTGATGAAACACTAATGAAGGTCTTCTCACCACCATAAGAACTGTGTGTTTGAATTTTCTTTTTCTTTTTGCCCTCTGCCAGAGCAGATGATTTTATTCATCACTGTGAAAAGTGGCTCATTTGCCCAGTGTCACATATTCACAATATCTGTATCATGCCAGGAGTCTGAGCATATAAAAATGAGTCAATATTTGGCTTGATAACCAGTCTCTGATTAAAGATTGTTGATCTTCTTGTGTTAGTACTGGGTGGTCCAGCAAAACTGGATTAAGTCAGAAAACAAGCCAAATAAAAGGAGATGCACCATGGAAGAAAGTACTACGTGCAGGTCAGCCACTGCTCACCCTTTGCCTGAGATGTACTGTTTTATACTCTATTTCAGCAAATACTGCAACACTCCCGTGAAAATGCTACAAAGGTGATATTTCTCATTACTGATGGATATTCCAATGGAGGTGATCCTAGACCCATCGCAGCATCCCTGCGTGTAGAATTTGGAGTAGAGATCTTCACATTTGGAATATGGCAGGGCAACATCCGAGAACTGAATGACATGGCTTCCCATCCAAAGGAGGAACACTGTTACCTGCTTCACAGCTTTGCAGAGTTTGAGGCTTTAGCTCGCAGAGCTCTTCATGAAGGTATTACATTTAGTAACCCTGGAAGTATCATTTCAGATGCTATAGAGAGTATAGGGCTGGCTGGAAATACAGTAACTCCTCACTTAAAGTTGTCCTGGTTAACGTTGTTTCGTTGCTGATCAATTAGGGAACATGCTCATTTAAAGTTGTGCAATGCTCCCTTCTAATGTCGTTTGGCAGCCGCCTGCTTTGTCCACTGCTTGCAGGAAGGAGCAGCCCGTTGGAGCTAGCTGGTGGGGGCTTGGAACCAGGGTGGACTGGCAGCCTCCCTATCAGCTCCCCGCTCCCCTAAGTTCCCTGTCCTGCAGCCGCCCAGCAGGCTATCAATCGGCAGTTCAGCTGTCCCTCCCCCCGCTGCCATGTGCTGCTCCTGCCCTCTGCCTTGGAGCTGCTCCCAGAGACTCTGCTTGCTGTGCATGGGGGGAAGGGGGAGTCTAATGTCAGGGTGTCCCTCTCCCCCCTGCTCCTGCACCCCGCTTACCCCTTCTCCATATAGGGCAGGGAGGGGACATGGAGGGAGAGAGACAGAGAGAGCTTGGGGCAGCAGCTGCTGTCTCAACTTCCTGATCCACTTAAAAAGACAATGCACTTAAGAGTGGGTCAGCTTACTTAAAGAGGCAGTGTGCATCTCTCTCTCTCTCCCACACACAAGGTATGTGTCTCTGTCTGCTGTGCTGTCTCCCCTCCCTCCTGTTCGTGCTGCCTTGATGAGAGGCTACATTAACAACAATGTGTTAACCCTTGAGGGCTCAGCCGAGTGCTAGTTCATCATTTAGCAGCAAGGCATTCCCTGGGAAATATCCCTCCCTCTTCCACCCTCTAACCACCACCTCAACCAAGCTTCACAGTCATCATAGCTGTGAACAGTATTAAATTGTTTGTTTAAAACGTATAGTGTGTATATATCTATATAATATATAGTTTTTGGTCTGGTGAAAAAAATTTCCCTGGAACCTAACCCCCCCATTTACATTAATTCTTATGGGGAAATTGGATTCGCTTAACATCGTTTTGCTTAAAGTCGCATTTTTCAGGAACATAACTACAACGTTAAGCGAGGAGTTACTGAAAGGCCTTGTGAAATGTTTCATATAGGTGTTGTTGTCTCTTTTCTTTGGTATTTTTCTTGCATTCATTTGTATTACATTCAATAGAAACCAACAGATTTCAGTAGTAGATCTTTCAAAGTCAACAGATTGGGCCAAATTCTTCTCTTTGATGTGCATGTACATTGCCCTTTGGACCAGTTTCAAGGCTTCATTTTACCTGAGTAAGAACTGGGTAAGAATGTCAGGGTTTGCCCAATGGAGATTTTGCCTAAATAAGAACTTTGGGCCAGTTTTCAAAGGTATTTAGGCACCTAAAGATGCAGACAGGCCCTAGGAAGGACTTCAGAATTTGTCTCAGTATTAATAAAAGCCTTTATACACTGTGGGCACATAACACATATTTAGAATATTTCAAAAATTCATAAAAACACCTCTCATAAATGTAAATGTGACGTTTCTTTAGGTATAAAAATTCTATAAAATGGAACTGGTTTCTGATGTTTACTTTTATGAAGAATTGCCACTGAACAAAAAAAGGAGGATGAGAATAGCTGTTAAGAATATAGGGCTGGATCTTCACCTGGTGTAAATAAGTGTATCTACACTCCCTTGAACGGAGCTATGCAACTGCACATCAACTAAGAATCTATCCATGAGTATTTATGTAGTTTTGATTTAAGTAAACCTTCTGATTTAACATGAATATGGTACTAGGGTGACCAGAAAGCAAATGTGAAAAATCGGGACGAGGGTGGGGGGTAATAGGAGCCTATATAAGAAAAAAAGACAAAAATCGGGATTGTCCCTATAAAATCGAGACATCTGGTCACCCTATATGGTACATATCTACCACCAAATTCTTTTGGTGCATGGTGTTTTTTTCTGTTTTAAAGGATGTTTAATTAGATCTTTTTTTGTGGAGGCAGAGAATCTACCTATTTTTAACAGTTACATATTCAGTGACAGATTGATCTCATAGGGTCATCAAAGTCAAATTCATTCCTGTGATTTTGGTGGAACCTAATTTGGGCCCTTGTTTTCCTTTTAATTCTTGCATTGAGGCCAATGATAATTTTGCCTTAGTAAGAACTAAAAAGAAACTGAGTAAAGACTTGTCAGAGAAAAACAGAGTTCTCGGGATTTTTGCTTCATAGACTTCAGTGAGCATTTTTCCTGAGTTAAGAACTTCAGGATTTGAGACATACATTTCAAAGAACTGAAGTTTTGCTTCACATCATCACCACCACAAGTGAATATTGGAACTATAAAGTTTTCAGCGACATTTCACTAATTATTAACTATTGTGGCCTTTTTAATTGATTTGTATTACAGATCTGCCCTCTGGCAGTTACATTCAAGAAGATATATCCCACTGTTCATATCTCTGTGAGGCAAATGAGAACTGCTGTGACATCATGGCAAGCTGCAAATGTGGCACTCACACAGGGCAGTTTGAATGTATCTGTGAAAAAGGGTACTACGGTAAAGGACTACAGCATGAATGCACAGGTCAGTCTCCATTTTTCAGATTCCCCAATTTATCTACGTAGCCTAAATGTAAATCTAATTCAGATCACACGAAGTCATATGCTGTTCTGCATGCAGATTTATGACTATGGGCTGGTCTGCACTGGGGGAGGGGGGGAATTGATCTAAGATACGCAATTTCAGCTACGCTATTCGTGTAGCTGAAGTCGAAGTATCTAAGTTCGACTTATCTGGCTCCCCCCGTCGACTCCGCTTACTCCTCCTGCCGAGGTGGAGTATGGGCGTCGATTCGGGGATCGATTTATCGCGTGTAGACGAGACACAATAAATCGATAGCCGATAGATCGATTACTACCTGCCGATCTGACTGGTAGTGTAGATGTGGCCTATGAGTCTGATGTAAAGTCAATGGAAAAACTCCCATTGACTTAGTAGGTTTTGGATCAGGCCCTTGTAGATTAATCTTAATGCAAGCGGTTCTTACATTAAACTCATGATAGACTGAATACTCTTGGATTCTCCCAAATCGGCTTTCACTTGCCAGAGAAGAAAAAGTTCCAGTTGCTAAGCAGAAACGTATCACATCTCAATAAGACTTTTGTGTGACTATTTTTGTGAACTGCCCCTTAGTAGTGCTTATAGAAAGACAATCCTCTGACTGAAATAGAGACATTTATTGTATCCTATAGCAGAAACATGAAGGCAGTATTTTTGAATTCCTGGATTTCATATAGCATTGTCCATGAACAAAGATGAAATAGTCAGATGCAATATACAGCTTCACAGTAGACATTCATTTATTACTTATTTTTCACATATATAGCCTGACCTGCTTAAAGGGAAATAAGGAGGAAAATGATTGCACTGGTCTTTTGTGGAATTGGCTTTCAATTCTGGGAAGCACTGGATGCGACAGTGATAAGAGCTATTATAAAAATATGGTTGGATGGATATCAGCCATTTTGTCATTATGCAATCCCTTTTTACAAACAAAACCGAATTCAATTTAAAGTTTTCTTGCAATCGAAAGATCATCTAAGGAAATGCTTTTTTAACGTAATGGAATGATTACAATAAGTGAAGGGAAAATATGCTTGTAAAAAGGATATACAAGTTGTGTCCAATTGCATTAACTTTTATGGGAGAGAAATGTCACAATAATCAAAACACTTCTTAACTTTTTTCTATTTAGTTTATAAGCTAGTTAAGAGAAATAGTTATAATGAAATATCACCAGAAAAAGAAATGTAAGATAAAGTTAATACTGATTTGTATCAATCTTAATTCTGTCTCCAAGCTCTCACATGTATAATCAAAATTTTCATCAGCTGCCTCATGAAATGTAAGCCTGCTCTGCTGAGTATATGATTTACAACAACATTATGGCCTTTCAGGATGTTTCATAATGTTTGTTTTTTAAATTAAGGTTATGTGATTGTTCGCTATCATTTGTAACTGTTGTCAGGCCTCTATTTGCTCAAAGGGTAGAGTGGAAAGGACACAGATAGATCTGGAACCTAAGCATGGAGGGTATCTTCTCAGATCTCTGTGAGAAGGATCAGTAAGGTCTAGCGCAGGGGTCAGCAACCTTCGGCACGCAGCCCATCAGAGTAATCTGCTAGCGGGCTGCGAGACATTGTGTTTACGTTGACTGTCTGCAGGCACGGCCCCCCGCAGCTCCCAGTGGCCGCGATTCGCCGTTCCCAGCCAACGGGAGCTGCAGGAAGCATGTCACACTTTAACTTCAAATTTCTTTGCTTTCATGAATATTTCATTCTACCAGTTATTTTAAGTGACATATATTCTCAATCCTAACTCAATTGAAAAAGGTGGGTTTTTATATCTGATTTCTTCGGGCTCAGCTTGCAAGAAGGAGCATTCCTATGGCAAAATATGGCAAACGTATTCAACACTTATCCCTCTCAGTATATTGTTTTTTATTAACTACTGCAGAAGTCAAATGAATTTTCCAGTTGACCAGTCATTACAGAACTATCACCAGATCCTGCACTTTGCCTCTTCCGTTGAAAAGGGTCTGCTCTAGCAAGAACGTGCCCCTGAACAAAAACAGTATAAACCATAACTTCTTTAAGTGTGCATTTGGCAACTGCAGAACAAAGTGTTATTTCAATAGCACATCAGCAATCATCTGTTAAATCAAAGTTTCACGAGATATCCTGTATTATATGCAATGCCAGTGAAGTGCCAAGTTCTGCCATCTGCTGTGCATCATCTGGCAAAGTTAATGAAAGTTGCACACTTCTATTTTTGGATAGAATTGGCCTATTCTTGCAAATATAACTTAATCTGCTGAAGTGTTGTATTGCCTCTTAGGAAAGAGAGAGAGACAAAAGGTCACGTGTATTCCTTAAAAGAAAAACGTATTTTGAAATCTTGTTTTCCGAAGTAGATTCCAGTGTTTTTTATTGAACTTTCCCCTGGTGAGCGTAAGTATGGTTTTGTAAAGCACGAGGAATTTCCAGACTCTATGCTAGCTCTTATTCATGGTATAACGCGCGGGAATGCTGCTGGCAAGTTTGCTTTGGTGGGACTTGATGATGGACTGTGATTAATTGTGCTGCCTTTAGTTTTCAATTTTTTAAGCTTGTGGATACCATTGTAGATCAACTTTAATTCATAGGATATGACTTGCGCATAGAGTTTTCATCAAGATAGGAAATTGTTCTCCTCCTCTAATGTATATACATGTCACATTCCGGGGTGCAATCCAGACCAGTGACGGGCTGTGTCACTACCTGCCCCGCAACCTTGGGTGCCTCTCCAAGGTTTGCTGTTGTAGTTCCCAACTTGGGCTGCTCACAAACAGCCTACCAGCCTGCAGGCCGCATGCTCAGTATCTGTATAGCTGCAGCCCTGGTTTAGCAGTTCTGACCTCAGCAGCCTGTCAGCAATACATCAGTCACACTCTGGCTTCCACCAGCCTTGGTTACTTCTTGCAGCAGGACCCCAACACACTCCCAGTCCCAGATTATCCCAAAAATGTGTGTTCTGCGCTGCCCAGCCTTCTCTTGGAAAGTTCAGATATTAAAGTTTTGTTGTTCCTGTAAAGAGTCAATATTCAACAGCTTGCTACTTGACTGGAGTCACCGAATAGTTCAGTCTAAACACAGCATTGGATTGGTTTATATTAGAAAATAAAACAAGTTTATTAACAAAAGAAGATGGGATTTTAAGTGAGTTCAAGTATAAGAGAGAAAGTTAGAAATGGTTATAAGTAAATAAAAGTGAAAGCATGCATTTAAAAGTCTAAAACTTAATCTACCAAGTTTTAGTTCCAGGCTTTTGTTCAAGATGGCCTTTCTCATCTACAGTCTTCCAGCAAGATGGTGACTGACCCTTTCCTTGGTCAGGATCTTTCCCAGAGGCTGCTGGTGCATTTGTCATCTTAGGTGAAAGAGCAAGAGAGAGAACTTGGGGTTATCTGCCCCCTTTCTTTTATAGTCCAGTGAACCTTGAAAGTGGATTCTTCTGAAGATTACCCCTTCAAAGCAAAGATTATTCAAACTGTAAAGGAGGTGACATGGAGTCTGGTGGTGATGGAGTCTCTATGCTCTTTCTTCCCACCTGTGTTTGCTGAAATGCAAATTTGCTTGTCTCCTCTCATTTACTCCCCTTGCTGTCTTCAGGACCTGTTTACTACTTACCTGTAAATTGAGGTAAACCCACATTTCTCTGGATAGGATAGACCTGTTTAACAACATTTGTGTAGGCGGGGCTGAGTGGTTTTGAACATGTGCTAACAGCATCATAGGGGGATTTCATAACTTTACGTATAATGTTGCTACCTACGTTTCACCATGATATTATTGACCAGTGAGTTATTAGCTTTCAAAAGATACCTCACAAGACCTATTTTGTACAAAGATTATTACAATAGTGTGTAGGGTGTGAATACAGGGGTGCTTTTGGTCACAATGTGCCTTTTTAATTAAAATTACTCTATTTATGCCAGTGGTTAGACACGTGGTTTATAGCATTATATCTGAGGCAACAAAATAATTGTGTAAAGTCAATGAAAGCAGTACTTTACTTCCCTAATTACCCCAAAATGTCCTCTAGAAAGTCTCCATAAAATAAAATGAGAGCCACATGCTCAACATCAGACAGCAGAAATCGGCCCTAAACCTCCTCCAGTATTGTGAATGATTTGCCATATAAAGAGGAGCAGACGGAGTGTTCTGTGCTTTATACAAACAAACAAACAAAGTTAAGTGAGTCATGGCCCACACAGGAATTACACACATTCAGAGATTTCCATGACAGCTGTGACAAAGGAAGTCCATGGAAAGTAAAATATGAGACAGAATGATGGGAGAAAGAGACTCTCAGAGAAATATCAGAGTGCAAAATTCTACTTGGAGATGTACATACGTAGGAAGCTGCTAATATCATGGCTGGCCCTCGGTGTTGTGCAGCCCTAGTGAAGAATATTTTGGTTTCCACCCCACAAACATCCCCAGATGAACAAAGCAGATATCTTACGTTTCCTTCCTCTTCCCTTGTGTGCACCTATCACATTTCAAACTTATGTAGACTCTCAGATAAAAACACAGCAGCTGCCGGTCAGCAAAAAAAAAAAAAAAAAAAGCCTTTACACTCTGCCATTGTACAGAGATAGACCTAAGATGTTGCTGCCATCCTATCATTTTTAAGATAGCCTATTAAAGTTCATTCTATTCCAAGCCACACAGAATGCTAAAATATAACCTCTTTATCTGCTTCAGCCTCTCTTTCTTGCTAGGTTAGGGAATGCATCTTCTTCACAGCCTCCCTTCACCTGCAATGATGTTCTTTAAAGTTAGGCTCTCAGAAGCAGAGTTCTTTGGCAACTGAGCTCTTCATGGATTGGATCTCCTCTCAAAGACATGATGCCACCTGAAATGTGGTGCCCTAGGTGGCCACTTTACCAGTTAAATCGAATCATGCCGCTAAACATTGTCCTGTTGTCTATGGCATGACAGTCGTCTTCCATCAATAAGACAAGTACCTTCTATGGTTTC